CTTCATAAGAGGCATGGCGAGTTTTTTGAAGTTGTATTTTTTTTGTCATAATTTTTCGGAAAATTAAAAAATAAAAAAAAGTATTTTCACAATTTTTTTCTACATATTGTTACCAGTGCAGTACAGCGTCATCATATAACTGGCATGGTGGTGATCAGGGACACTGACTGGTGACAGTATGAAAAAAAAAATATATATATATTTTTTTATTTTAAATTTTTTATTAATTTTTTTTTTTTTTTAAGATTTTTTTTTCATATTTCACTATGTCCAAAGTAGTACAATGTTACCATAGTAACATTGTACTACTTTGGCGAAGTGATCAGTATTTTTTTTTTTTTACACAATTTGCTTATAGCAAAGAATTACTTTGCTATAAGCAAGCATTTACCTGAATGACATCGATTCATTCAGGGTTTGTTTTTTTTTGTTTTTTTTGTGCTTAGCTGTGATTTGGCCACAGCTAATCACATGACATGTGCATGTGACCTGCTGTGACCATTCACAGCCAGACACTAGTATACAATGGATTGCATGAATGAAGCCATCCATTGTATACAACTGTCATGTGACCTGCTGTGATTGGTCACAGCAGGTCACATGGTGCCGGCAACGGGGGCCGGTACTCAGATCTGTCATCGGCCGTGTCCGAGGTACACGGCCGGTGACAGATCGCGCCACTGCGCGGCTCTGCAAGCGTGCGAACTGCGCATGTGCGGGATGACGCCATATGGCGGCCTCCCAGAAAGCTAATACATTTTTACGGATGCCACTTGGCCATAGGCCGGGCGTCAAATGGTTAAAAATTCTCGTAAATCCATCGTCAATCCCGTCATGCAGTGATGCAGATCCACATCAATCACAATTATTGACGCCTACTGACTAACGCAATCTGTGATATCACTGATCAAATACGGTCAATAAGAATATAATAGAATTGGGTCACAGGAGAGCCCCACCTGTTTGTCTATTTTATTAGCAAGGATTGGGAGATATCATTTATAGCAAGTGAGCGACGAATGACAGGATTAACATTGTACATTGTGGGACTTTTTAGGGGTTTTTTAAGGACTTGTCAAATAATGTCAGTATGTTTTTTTTACCGTTAACAATTTTTTGTGAATGAGTTGGGGTACTATTTACCCGGTACTCATTTGCATCAGAGTGGTCGGTATCTGGGGGCCCCCTTATTGTTAAAGGGGGTTTCCAGATTCTGGTAAGCCCCCATTCCCTAGACCCTCCTTATCAACATGGGGACAAGGTGCTTTGCCAGGAGCTCCCTCCTCACAAGGTACCCCCTCTCCCATGTAGAGGGCATTTGGCATGGTATGGTTTGGGAGGTGAGGGCACATGCTTGTAAACCTTCCTTTCCTGAGCAGTCAGGCTGGATGTTTGGATCAGGGTCTGATTTGAATTTTTATTCATTTTTTTTTTTTTTTATCATGAGTTTCCCCCATAAAATCCATACTAGGCCTGAAGGGTTTGGCATCCATATTGGGGGACTACATGCAATTTTTTTCTTTTTACACAATCCCTGCTACTTTTCTTACATTCCCATGTGAGCCAGGAGTCCCTGTCTGACAGCTGAATGGGTTGGCAGGGATGAGTCCTGGTTGTTAGGAACCGGCAGCTGCCTTCTTCCTAACAACCAGCCTGATGGAAGCTGTCACATTAAGCAGCAGTAGTAATACTGACACTAAATGTATTACTGACCGCTGCTGCCAGAGGTTTAACTCATTCAAACACCAATTTAGTTAAACTTTTTGCCAAATTTCCAAACAAGTAAAATTTGGTCCAAACCAGCAGCTCATACCTAGTCAATTCAGCAGTTTGGTGAATGATCTGGAACAACACTTCTAGAATAACAGGCCCGTGGCGACTTTCCTCCCAGCTGACAGAGGGAACAGTCTTCTCTCTAAACATAGTGAAGGCACAGTATCAGGGGCGGACTGACAACTCATGGGGCCCCCGGGCTAGTGGGGATCATGGGGCCCCTGTGTCCTTGCCCAAACTCAAAAAAGCCTATGAAAAAGGTACCAGGGGCATCTCATGGGGCCCCCTACTGACCCCGGGCCTCGGGCAGTGCCCAAGTTTCCAAATGGTCGGTCCGCCCCAGCACAGTATACAGTAGCTCTCTAAAGTGGCTCATGTCTCCTCCTCCTTTGCAGAATCCTTGCAGAACCTTCCTTCCTCTGACATCAAATTAAAAAAAGCATTACTGTTAGAATCAAATACATTTAGCATTGCCGAAACATTTGAGGACATTTTATGGGTTGGATAGGAGTATTGTTGAAAGGAAAAACATCTCAGAGATTATTAGGGTAAATCACAATATAAAGAGAATTGAAGATGAGTCCAAAAACTATTTCTGGTTAAGGAATAATATAAATGAGGTTTGTGGGCGAGTCCATGTAGAGAATTTATAAGTCTACAATTTCTCATGTCTTTCTCAACCTGCAAGATGCTATAGCATATTGTGCAGCTATTGTCATCATTGGCTTTTCTCCTCGCAGTAGAATGTGGAGTTTCCCTTTATTTTCTACAGAGAGGAAGCCCAAGGTTAGAGTGGAGAGTCTCTGTAAGTGAATGTCTCTCCCTGCTGTATTCAGTACTTGGAGCATCATAGTAGGAAGTGGGTCTCATGCTCTAGGACCCCCTGACCACACTGTTGGCATGGTCTACTCTCCTTGGGCTCATAGGTCTGACTGTGCACCCTGATTCGATTTCCAGGCTGAGGGGACCAGTCTGAACAGGCTCAGGATCTGTCGTCACTGGGGTCTTGTAGCATCTCCAGGTATGGGGCCAGTTTGTAGTCTGTCCAGCAAGTAGTTTGCTTCTGGGAGTTTATTTAGTTTCTCAATTATTTGACATATTTTTCTTTTAAATTGTTCATCATGTCCTTTATTTGAGATAGTGTCAGGCCACATTGTTGGAAGTTTTGGATGGAAAAGGTATTAATGAGTTTGTTGCAGGTTACATGGATTAACCTGGACCTTGTTGGTCAGTAACTTTTTGGTGGTATGAGTTTATGGCTGCTGTTTTGTAAGTGATCCCAGTGTCATATCACACTCTTATTGTCTATAAGTGTAGCACCAGTGTAGTGGTAGCCAGGCAAACAGCAACATTAACTCATCTGGCTCAGTAAACAGTCTCGGGGTTGCCTTTTTTTAAAGTTTATTGCAGATTCACATGGATGGGGCTTAGGGAAGTTGTGCAATACTCAAGAACACAAAACAAGAATGTGAAGACACTCGTCCTTTTTCATCTTCTTCTCAGAACAGTGCCTTCAGCATTAAGACATAAAGTGGACAGCACTGGGACACCATCAGCAATGTCCCAGGCCAGGAAAGCCTTAATGTTAGTGTACCAGGGGTTAAGAGCAGCTACAGTCGCTAGGATCCATCTCTCAGGTCTGTATTCAGTGTCTGTGGGAGCTGGATGCCTTCCTTCAGGCTCAAGCAGTCTCTTCAGTGAATTTTCCAGACCAGATCTCCAGTAAAACCCCTCTCACAGCTTCAAAAGGATTCGTAGAAGGATAGGCCCCCCAGCTATGCCCAGCTTGGACCTCGATGAGACGAGCAGAATATTCAACTGAACTTCCTAGAAGGGCAATAGCCCTTCTGGCTGGGAACCTCTACTCCTGGGGAAGAACCCTGCTCTCTAAGGCTCCAAACTATATATACACAACCTCCCCAGCCACCATTTGGGCACACTCCCCAGAGATTGGCTGGTGCTACGTAAATATTCAAGCTGCTTGTTTGACTTTCCTACTCACTACATTCTGGAAGGCTTCAAAAGCGGGAAGCAATCAAACCCACAGCTGCAGAGCCCATAGTGGTCCAAAGCAATCACATGCTGCTCTGCTGATTACAGGAGAGCCATAGAGCTAAATTTGCCTAAGGCAAGCCATAGATGGTACAAATTTATTTCCTGCAACCACGGGAAAGAAATTTGTTTGATTCCCCCATCAACACAGACACTGCTGACAGGGGAATCCTTGGCATCCCGAGCCATTGTGTGCTTTTACAGCTGCTAGCAATACTCACTGTCTTCTCCCGCGGGGGAAGTTGTCCCCTATAACAGCCGCTAGCAATAATCACATGTAAAATTCAGCAGGCTGGTTGTACCCAGGTTGATCAATTGAGAGGGTGCTACATAAGCGGTCAAGGGAAGCTGTCCAGCTCCAGACAAGCATTGTTGGCGGTTTTCTGCTGGACTTGGAGGAAATTACCAAATTCCAGATGGAATGTTTCTATTTAGTTGGAGTCTCATTTGGGATGAGTTGCAAAAAGGGCCCTATACTTCACTGCCATAAAGCAGAATTGAAGACTTTGATCTAGATTCTTACCACTGATTTTAGGCGGTACAGCGGTCTCCTGATGTTATAGAAGGTGCTGCATTGCTGCACGCCATGACTTTCAGAGCTTCTATGGCTGGCTTCAAACTTCCTTCTATGTATAGCTTTTAGCTCCAATAAGAGTGCAGTTCTTTATGTAAACTATGTATTAAAATAATAGGAAGTCATTCTGATTATAGCAGAAACCTTACCTCAGTGTCATACAAGGTTAAGCCGGCCCTACATGGATTGAAATTCGGCCTGTTCAGCAGGACCTGGCTAAATTTCAATCCATGTATGGGCTGGATGGTTGTACACATGTCAATCTATGTTAGGTTTTTCCCAAACAATCAGTGCCGCTGGCTATAGCTCCTTACCGGCAGAATACAATAGCTCAGTGGGAGCGATTCCCCCATTCACATTGAATGTGTGGATGGGGGAATTGGCTCTTTTTTTTCATTCAACCTGCTGGCTGAATAAAGAAAGTGAATCGTGTTTGGCCTGCCTTAGTCCTGGTGCTGAGGAGGCCATAGCCAGTTCATTGGTGTTTATGTTACAGAGAGTTGGAGGGAGGCTGCAGAGAGGATACAACTCTGTATACCTCCATGGGATTGCCAGAAGTGCTCATTTCTTCCTAATAATGTTTTATCTTATCTCCATGCAGGTGGAATTGACTGGTAATAGCATATATGAGTATATCCATCCTTCGGATCATGATGAGATGACAGCAGTACTCACAGCTCATCAACCTATCCACCCGCACTTACTGCAAGGTAACTTACTGCTGTATGTGTTTTATTATTGGAAGCATTGATCAAGTATAGATATTGGTACCATTCCATTCCATTACTGCAGAAGAAGTTGTGCATGGAAGATTCTCTTTCACCACTATACCAAATTCTGGTTGTGCAAATATGCAACATATTCATCTTAATCCAGTGAGGGGATCCACCACCGCTAGTGGCTATGCACTCACCAGAAAGCTACCGGTAAAGTAGCATTATTGTTGATCACATAGGAGAAAACCTCAAAGATCCATATATGTAAACCGGACCTCTCCAATGGATATTGGTAAACCTCAGATCAAAACAAGGGGGGAATCCTCCTAAAGAAAAAAGCTCACCACAGGAGCCCAGGATTCGGCATACAGTAAAGTATTTATTACAAATTATATAAAAACAATCCACGTGGAATGATTCATAACATGTATGGGTATACCCCTGAGGACATGCATGCACACGAAACACGCTGGGTGGAGCCTTACGTGCTGACGTCAAGCCCGGAGCGGGGGCCATCTTGGTATGTGTTTGTAACACATGTTATGTATCATTCCACGTGGATCCTTGATGTTTTCTCCTTTGTGATCTGCAAAAATGCTACTTTACCAGTAGCTTTCTGGTGAGAGCACAGCCACTAGCGCTGGTGGATTCCCTCACTGGATTAAGAGCACCTTTTTTGAACATCCAGCATGGTATTGCTGTGACTTGTAGTACCATGGGCACTTTTGTCATTACTGTTTCTGCAATTTATTTCATCACTGAATGGACATATATGTATCACTTCATTATTATTTATATGTCATTATTTTTATGTTATTGTTCACACTTTTATTGAGTATTTGTTCAAGCGTTTTTTATGGCACTTAATGATGATGTTTAATGCTTAGTGCTGCACTTTATTATACAATTTTTATGGGATTTGTTGCCTTTACCCTTTGTGTTAGCAGCTTCTAGATTATCAGCGCTCGCCATATACTTTGCAAACATACTCATCTGTCAATGTTATAAAAAAAAAAAAAAAAATTTATATATATACATATATATATATATATATATATATATATATATATAAATTATTTATTTATTTATTTATTTTTTATAACATTGACAGATGAGTATGTTTGCAAAGTATATGGCGAGCGCTGATAATATATATATATGTATACATGGTATATTCTACTGCAGAAGAGCAATAGATATAACAAATGTTTCACATCAAATGTAATTATATGATGGAGAGCGAGTGAGTGTGCGAAAATGTAGTAATTGCCATCACAGTTTTTCAGCCCTGGGAAAACAGTAAAATGTCTATTTTTTGGGTGGAGTAGACTTTAATAGAAATTGAGGAAGCAAAATGATGTCAACATTTTGGGCTGAGCTTTTTTTTCTGGGATCAATATAATATTGCTCACTGTTCTGCGTGATTGATAGTCTAGCTTTATTTTGGGATTGTGTGTTGGATTTTTGGCCTTGCTAATACTGAGCACTATTATTTCTGGTCAATGTATTTTTATTTCCAAACACAATCCATCAACGCTATGAAGAGTTTTCCAAAGTCTGGATATGGCTCGGGGTTTCTGTTGGAAGATATGCTACACAGCAAAAGTACATTGAATGCAAGAATGAATGAAGAAGAATCTGCAGAAAAACTGTCAGCAAAATGTGATGAGTGTTTAAGGAGTGATTTCACTTTTGTTGAGAAAAAAACCTTTCCCTCTGGGTGATCTACGTACATTGCAGGGATTTTAACAAACGTTTTGCAGATTCCTACCTTTTGTTGTTCTGAAATAGCTGTTTGTTTGTCTATGAAACTAATGGGAGTGATTTTTATAATTATCAACCAGCTGCTGCATTTTTGCAAGGTTCTAATGAGGAAAGTGGCAGGGTCTTCATCCCTTTAGACATGATTTCACTTTGGGGGTATCTCACCAAAAATGACATTTTTGTTGTAGGGGATGTCCAAAATCTGACTTGCTTAGCATTCTAACATTGGTCAGTATAAACTAGTGATGTTTGTGACAGGGTTACCTTAAAAGAAACCCTAAGAGAATAGACGCTCCAACTGATGATAGCTGCTTTTGAAAATGTTGAGTACCTTGCTGTAGCCACTTGTTCCCTATTTTAAAAACTGATAAACATACAACACCAGCTGGCTTATATTAAATGGAACAATGAGTCCTTGATCAGCTTAGGACCCATTCACACCAGCAGCTGCTGATGTGCGCTGTGTCTGGAAAGATGTCTATATGCTGAAAACAGCACATCACACTGTAACTTTTTTTTTGTTCAAACAGCCCAATGCACCTGGTGTGAACAGGCACCTAATGAAAATCTTATATACATGTTTGGAGAAAACTAATACACAAAGTCACACAGGGGTGGCCTGGGGGAGCTGCTGGCGAGAATCAGTAGATTCTTGCCAGCGGTTCTAAACACTGCCTGCACACAATTACAATGTGGCACTTCAGTTCCTAACCATGTAAAATGGGATGCCAGTCTCATGTGAGGGTTTAAACCCTGCTGGCTAACCTATATTGGGGGGTGTAATCATTCAGGTGAGCCATTGTTCCCCTTACAGAGTGGGAACTGCACATCTCCTCTCCTACTCTGTCATCATTGATCTTAACAGGAACACTCCCTTCATAGGCACTTTGTGTGACTAATGGTGTAACGCATATAGATGCGCAGAATTAAAAAAATTGTACCAACGCCACGGAGGGAGTGATGATGTCACTGCTGTGGCTCCGCCCTATGCATTTCATCCAATACGATGTCGTCACTGGGGCAATGGAAATACTCTTAACGGCCTTAGCTGTATCCCCATTGCCCCAGTTGATGACGTCCTATTAGACGAAACGTGTCAGCAGGAGCTACATCGGTGACATAGAAACAAAGAAGCATAGAACAGTGAAGTCAGAAAAAGACTGAGTGGTGTTTGTTTTACATTTGTGAGTAGCCTTTATATTTTATTAAAATGTGGTCATTTTAATACTGCACTATAAGAGACCTTCCACTTCTTGTTTGGCATTAATCTGGAGCCGATTCACCCCGTTGAAGTACTGATTTTGGTTTGATCCACCCAATTTGGGTTTTGTCCCTGTATACGCAGTCAGACCGCCGTTCTTTGAGGTTTGAGAATCTAGTAAGCTGGGTGTGATTTTGTATGCACACAGGTGGTGAAGATTTTGCTTACTTCTGGGATCTTTCGGGCTGTTTCATTCACACTTGGCTATGGACTGTTAACAGCACTTTTTAAACACCTTGTATGGACATTTTTTTTGTTCGCTTTTATTTTTCTTTGCATATGCACTTTATTGGTCACACAACCCAATTTTTGCTAGTTTTATATATATATATTTGATGTCGCTGGATGTCGCTCCATTTCCTCAAACTGAACCTTTCCAAAACCGAGCTCCTAATCTTCCCCCCAGCCCGCGCCCCCCCCCCACCCTCTCCATCATGACCAACAACGCCACCATCAGTCCCACCCCGCAAGCCAAAGTACTAGGTGTCACTCTAGACTCAAACCTGTCCTTCCAACCCCATGTCCAATCGTTGGCAAATTCATGCAGGCTCCACCTCCGCAACATCTCCAAAATACGTACGTTCCTAACCCCAGACACTACTAAACAACTCATTCATTCCCTTATTATCTCACGTCTGGACTACTGCAACTCCCTTCTCACCGGCCTACCCCAACACAGGCTATCCCCGTTTCAGTCTATCCTGAACTCAGCGGCCAGACTCATCCACCTTACCAACCGCTCCTCTTCTGCCACCCCCCTCTGTCATTCCCTCCACTGGCTCCCCATTGCCCAACGCATTAAATTCAAACTACTAACACTGACATACAAAGCCATTCATAACGCTGCCCCAAACTACATCACCGACCTGATACCCAAATACCACCCTACCCGTAATCTTCGCTCCTCACAAGACCTCCTACTTTCTAGCTCCCTGGTCTCCACCTCCCACGCCCGACTACAGGACTTCTCCAGGACTTCCCCCATCCTCTGGAACTCACTACCCCAATCCATCAGACTGTCACCTACCCTCCTCACCTTTAGGCGCACCCTGAAAACCCATCTCTTCAGGGAAGCCTACCCCACCCTCACCTAAGAGCCGATCTCCTCCACTCCTCCTACCACTCCATCCCCCACAGCCACTTCCTCCTGTACCACTATCCCCTCCCTCCTAGATTGTAAGCTCGAAAGATCAGGGCCCTTGACCCCCTCGTGTATTGTATTGTTACTGTATTGTCGCATGTTCTGTCCCCCACTATATTGTAAAGTGCTGAGCAAACCTTTGTGGTGCTATATAAACACTGTATAATAATAATATATTTGTATGTGATATATAGTGAGTGCGGTTAGTGTTGAAATATTGAATTGTACTCACTTTATGCCGTTTTCCTTTTTTGTTTGTGGCACATTGCACAATCAGTTTTGGTTTAGTAAAAATTAGACTTTGTTATTTTTTGCTTTGGTTGTTTTTCCTAGCTAACTTTGCTGTCACCTCCATTCCAGGCCTGTGTCTCTACAATCACTTGAACAGTATAAAGCATGGGGGGTTCACAGCCAGGAGCAGATTCAGGGAGGTTCTCATCATCACAGGCGAGTCCACATTATTGGATGCAGCAATTGAAAGCAGCTGTTGGGATTTGAGGCAAATTATGATAAACATTATTTCACATCTCTACATCCTCGTCTAGTACAAAGCGTCCAATCTGCATGTTTCACACTATTCATTCTCTTTCTGACAGACTCTCTATAATTGTTAGCTCACTTTTCTAATTGTGGTCAATTTCACAACAAGCAAAACAAAATGTCTTCTGGGCTAACCAGCTCCAGTACATGTCAAGTTCTGTGAGGCTGACTGTCGTACATATTCTATATTGCCAAAAGTATTGGGATGCCCGCCTTTACACGCACATGAACTTTAATGGCATCCCAGTCTTATGAAGGCCATACATGGGTCGAATTCCCAACAAATTT